AAACGAACAAAACGAAACTTCACCTTTCGTTTCCTTTTCTTTTTTTCTTGTTTTGTGAATGAAATCATTTCGGGCAGAGCAGAGAAGGACAGAGGCAGCAACGCGAAGATGGAGTGGTGTTCTGTACGTGCCCTCCCCGACACTTTTCAAGGGAGCCCCGAACTTGTTTCATTGACAGTGTCCGGGGGGGGGGTAGCATCGTGCTGCGACACCGGGACGGTAGAGCTTGGGCGGCACACTGAGGAGCGCCAGCCGTTGCGTGCTGCGGGGCTGCGGGAGGAGAACTCGGCCCTGCTGGCGTCACTCGCTGAGGCGCGCCAGGCGGCTGCGCTCAAGGCCGGTGCGGCCCGCGAAGCGCATGCCTTCGCCAACGAGCTTGTCACCATTTCCCGCGATGCGCCGGGCCTTCTCGAGCAGGCGCTCGACGATCGCCAGCGCCTCTTCTCCGACGCGCTCAAATACCTCGACTTTGCCATACAGGTCCGTCATCGCTGTCGTGCCTGTACGTGTGCGCGTGAGGCGTGCATCTGTCGCATTTCTCAACCCAACCTCTGATGCGTGCAGGCAGAGGCGGCATTTGGTGGAAGTCAGTGGCGAGAGAAGCTCTACCTGGACAAGGCCGACCTTCTGTGGTTTAGTGGTATGCGTGATCCTCGAACCCTCGTTTGTTTCTCTTCTCATCAATACACTCGTGCAGGCAAACATGAGGCAGCCTTCAAGGAGTATATGGCCTGTCTCAGGGACGACATCAATGAAAGGGTCATCGACGCCTGGTTCCCCAAGCTGCGCGAGCTCGGTCGGGAGAACGAGATAGACAGAATATGCAAAGAGATGTACCCCAGGTAGTCACCATGTCCGCCGGCGCCCCTGCCTCAACGCGTGTTGACCAAGTTCTCTCCCCGGTTTCGCAGGGCAAAGGACAAGAGCCAGCAGCAACTCCTTTTGCACTCGTTCTATCAGTACACAACACTTTCGCACAAAGCGGCCTATGAGTGGGCCGACCCACAGGTACGTGCACCGAATTGCATCACTGCTCACTCTCACTGCTAACAACAACAACACTGGACCGCATGGACACATGAACACGCACAGGAGGTAGATCGATTTGTGGCGATGGAAAAGAGCATGGGCCGGGGAAGAGACACGTTGCGCAGGAGAACCCTGCCTGTCGCTGGTCTGGCGGACGAGGCGCACCACTCAGATGACGAATACGAGAGCGACGACGAAGACGGGGAGAGTAAGCAAAGTGTACGAGAGGAACAACCAGCCAAGACAACACGGCTGGTGGCCCCTCCTGCCCTCGTACTACCGCCTGACCTGGCCGCTGCAGCCAAGGGCCTTTGATTGTTGGTTTTTGGCCCATTTTAGCATTTTAGCATTCTTTTTTTTCGTACCCCGAAAGAGAAAAAATTGTTGGCGACGCGAAACAACAAACGAAAAAGAGAAGGCCGCCGCGTGGGAGAGCGACGTTGGAGTAGGTGCAAAGAGTAGAGAGAGTAAAAATCGCAAGCGATTTGGCGTCCCTTTCGCGATCTGGACCTGGTGCGAGGATGGATCGACGGAGGCACTCAATAGCACAACCAGAGACCCGTCATGGATCGGATGCCCCCTCCTCTGGGGTCGCGTTTGGGCTTGGTGACGGCGGCAGTGCGGTCATGTGGTACCTTTCCCAGTTTAATCGGGTACGAGGTCTTCCCCCTCATTCCTTCTCCCCATTAATTTAATATCTTCTATTTATTGCAACATGTTTAGCCACTTATTACTTGATTATGTATCACTTCCATGGTTGGCCAGCAGCTGCGACTTACTGCCTCTCACTGTTGTTGTTTGTCGGTTGCGTAGCTGGCGCTGAGAGCCCACAACAACAAGTTTGTGTGCCGACACGGCGGCGATGGTGCCCTGAAGGCGAGCTTCATGCACAGTCGCCAGGCATGGCTGAAGAAGAACCAGGAGGTGTTCGAGATCGAGTGGCACGGCGGCCTGATGGATGGCGACGCCTTTGGAGCGCGCGCGCGTAGCGTGAGCCACCCACACCCGCACGATCACCAGCGGCGCCATCTGCTGACCGCCTCCAGCTCCGATGCCACGTCGCGCAGCCAGGACACGGAGGTCTCGCCCTTCCTTGCTCTGCGGGCCGACAACGGGCGCTATTGGCGCGTGACCTATCCCGACGGCCTACTGATAGCCACTGGCACGGACCAAAAGACGTCGGCAGACCCTGCTGTCTCAAGCGGAGGCGACGCTGAAGCACAATCGGGCGGAGGGGACGACACGCCGCCACCACGGTGCGGACGCACGGACGAGGAGCTGTTCACGATCGAGGTGCACCACGCCAACACGCTCACCATTCGCAACAAGGCCACGGGCACCTATGTGGAGGTGCGCGAGGACGGCTCGCTTAGGTGCGACCCGTCCGCCGCGCTGCAGCTCTGCATCAAGGACGCACAACTCTTCCAGCTCGCCTTCAAGGTATGCTCCGTCGCCCGACTCTGGCTCCTTCCGATTCGCTTGGTCGCACAGTAATGTCAACGTACTTCGTCGAGTGCAGGTCGCCTTCAAGACGGCCCAGGGCTTGTTTGTGAGCGTGCTGCCGAACGGCGGACTCGTGCCATCGTGCAAGAGGATCGACAGAAAGGAGGTATTCCTCATCCAGCTGCGGTCGCGGAACACGTGTACCATCTCCACCACCAAGAAACGGTACGTTAGGCCGTAGGCTTTGCCTTCACCCCTCGCCCAATTTCCCCTTTGCTCGAGGGAGGGCCAACCTGAGGTGAATGCGCGTGCGGCTGCCAGATGCTGGCGCGTGGGCAAGAAGGGCGTGGTGGCTGCCGATGGCAAGCCGACCAACGAGCCGGCGAAGGAGGAGCTCTTCACAATCGATTGCCCCGTCAACGGTCACGGCGTGGGGTGGACGATACGCTCTTGCTCCCACCTTCTCTACCTTCGTCCCGAGGTCCGACTGGCTCCCCCCGCTTTGGCCTTGACAAGGAGGCGATGCTGATGGTGCACGTTTGTGGAACGTGTGGCGTTGGGCAGGGCAACAAGCGAATCATCGCCGACAGCGAATATTCGCCATCGACGTCGACGCCGCAGGACCCCAATTGCTACTTCTCGCTGGTGTTCCCCGAGAAGGGCGAGGCGGAAGAGGAGGAGCCGAGCCCCGTGGTCGAAGAGCGAAGGAGGCACACCATACGCGAGAGCGGGGGAGTCAAAAAGCTGCGGCGCATCATCGAAGTAGGCTCACCGCACGCGCGCGCAGGTTTACGAATGAGTGCCGGCGGCTTACCAAACGATCGTTCTTTTTCCTCTCTAGGCATTCGAGATGAGGACCGAGGAGCTGCCGCTCGAGGACCAGAAGGATCCCGAGTACCGCTTGCTTGAGGGCGAACGAATGGTGTTGCTCAAGCACCACCTGCTGTCGTTCCACCGCTGCGAAGCGGCCATGGGCACGGCGGTCCTCACCAACTACCGCCTCGCTTTCTGTCCTGACGACCCCGTACGTGCATCGATGATCTCTCGCGCGCGTGTGTGTGTTCTTGCATGATTGAACTCACTTTCGCGCTTGGCGAACGTCGATAGAAAGCTGCGGAGAAAGGCGCGCATTGCTTCTCGTTTCCGTTGACCATCATCACCAAGATCACCAAGGTCGGACCCATCACTACTGAGGCTGGTAACTATCGTGGCCTCCAGGTCGTGCTCAAGGACTTCCGCACCTACTACTTCTGCTCCATTCCCTTCACCTCCATCCGGAAACCCAAGGTACTTGCGTTCTTTTATTATAATAATAAAGAATTGTTTTTTATTGTTGTTATTATTATT